ACATCCCCAAGAGGATGAGAAATGGGTTCAGTTGCAAACTCTGCCATCTCTGGAGAAGCCATCCTCCCCAATTCCAAGCACCATCATCAGTTCCAGGGCTCACCATTGACCGAGCCGAATTCTCTCTCGTGCGCCCGGGTCAGGATCTCCTTGTAAAGAGCTTCAGCCTCCTTGTATTTCCCTTGCTTGAGGTAGCAAGAAGCCTGCAGGAACACAGTGAAAGGAACGAGGGATGGATCAATAGGATAGGGATGTGTGAATAATAATAATAATAATATTCTTAGAACCACACAGCTGGAAGGGACCCTATGGATCATCATGTCCAGCCCCTGTCAAGGCGGCCCTGGGAGGATTTGAACTCCTAGCCACTGACTCGTAGACCGCTGAGCTCTCCAGCGATTCTTAATATGATGTTGCTGTCATACGCCATCAAGTTGGAACTGACTTACAGCAACTCTAGCAGATTGTTTGAGGTCAGTGAAACATTTAAGGAGCATTTTTACCAGTTCTACACCCCAGTCAGTTTCCGTGGGTGAGTGGGGATTCGAACCCAGGTCTCCTGAGTCCTAGTCCGTCACTCTATCCACTACACTGGGTATTCATACACAAATATACACATAGTTTCCCCCGCTTAAAATAGTTAACAAGCGTTACTAATATATAATATTGCACAGTTGAAATGCAACATTTAGCGTGAGTGAAATCGTGGTAAAACCGGTTCCCTTCCCTGCACTTTGGTGGCCGCGGCTCTGAAGTATGACTTCTTGGGATTCCTGATTGGATTCTGGATTGGAACTCTGTTCGGATTTGTCGATTTCTCTGATGGTTTTTTGTTTATCACTAATCATCACGGTATGCCAGAGAGAGAAAAAGAGAGAAAATGATGACGATGATGATGATGATGATGGGGGAGAGAGAGAGAGAGAGAGGGAGAGAGATAGATGATGGTAGACAGAAAGCTAGAAGACATTGATGGTGATAGTTAGATGATGATAGATAGAAGATGATGATGATAGATAGACAGAGAGAACCCCCGTGACCACCCGCCCCTCACCAGGTTGTTTTTGGTCTTGGCCACGCTGGGGTAATCCGGCCCAACGCAGGACTCGTAGATCTCCACGGCGCGCCGGTAGTAGTCCTGCACCTCCTCGTACTTGCCCTGGTTCTGGCACAGGAGGGCCAAGTTGTTCAGCTGCTTGGCGACATCCGGGTGGTACTTCCCCAACACCTGGTGAGGAGAAGGGGAGAACCGCATCAGGGGTTTCTGCAACCTCGCAGACTGCCTTTACTCGGTTGGGCGGGGGGCCTGTCAATCACTAGCAGCACTAACCAATCGGTCCTTCCGTGCCTCTGAATTCAAAGAGAGCCCCGCCTCTTTGCTCTGAACTCTTTTTCCTCTCTGTTATCTGTTGGAAACAGCGCGTCTGTGGAAGCCTGGTGCTGAAAGCAGCCACGTCGGCCCGTTTGCTGTTCAATGTAATGCCCCACTGGCATCAAGGATATTTGTTGGGAACCAAATAAGAACCGATCATGGTTTCCGTCGGAAAATACCTTCTCTCGGATCTCCAGGGCTCTCTTGCACAGGGGCTCTGCCTCCTTGTACTTCCCCCGCTTCCCGTACAGCACGGCCAGATTGTTGAGGGTGGCGGCTACCTGAGTGCGAAAAACGGACGGCTGTGAACGCTATACAGCTCCCGGCTCTCTGGGATGATTGCTTTGTGGCATCCCCAGAACAGTGGTGCATTTCCAGGGTAAGGGGGATTCAAAGGAATAGCAGAAACACGGGACCTCTTAGCTTCCTTTCGGTTTTAGCAGCAAAGAGGCTAGTCCTCATGGTTGCGGCAAACCTGAAACATCTTAAGTGGTGGTTATGAGAGGCTCTAAAGCCGCAGTTCCCAAATTTGGGCCCCCCGGATGTTCTTGAGACTAAAATTCCCAGAAGCCTTTTCTTCGCCACCTGTGCCGCCCAGGATTTTTGGGAGCGGCAGACCAAGAACATACAACGTATAGCATTTGATCCTTCTGCATTTTACTGCGGCCATGGTGGGGGGCTTGGAATCGTTCCCCTGTGGACAACACGGCCTACGGTACATTAGGAACTGCAGCCAGGGAAAACGACAGCCCCCCGCATGTTCCATGTTGTCTCCACGGAACCCCAAATATTCCAAAATCGGGGCAGAAGGGTTGCCAAAGTTAGGTATGATTGCACTGCCGAGGGGGAGCTCTTTTCGTCTCCCGCTGGATCGTGCCCGGAAAACGCGCAACTCACCGCGCAATGGTCCTTCCCCAGGGTCTTCTCCCGGATGGCCAAAGCGTCGTTGAGGAGGTGAGCGGCTTCTTTATACTTATTTTGGTCCCTAGTTGGAGAAGAGAACAAGTTGATCTTTCTGCCTGCAGGGACAAAGACGTATACTGGAACGGCACAAGAACAGCCCCCCGCACGTGGTAGGGTCCGCTTCGAGAATGTACCAGGTCAGACTCTTGTGGGGGGGGGGGAAGAGAATGTTCTGCCCATGCTTAAATAGTCTTTCAAGGCACCCAGGAATGCCAAGTGGAAAGTCAGACAGAGCATCTTCCCTGACAAGCTATCTATCTACAATGCAGGGAGCTTGGCTATAAGTTTATGTTCCTCCCCACAATACCAGCGGGCATTGAACTGTACGGCCCACATGCCCGTCCCTTACGGGGAGATCCAGACATTTCTTTTTTAAAACAGGTGTAGACCATTTGTAGCTTGAGGGACTCACGTCACCTCCTGGGGTCAGACTGCAGCCTTTAGCTTTAAGCAATGTAATTCTAACAAACCTTAAATTAAAAATCTGGCCCAAACCCACCTCCATTTTTAGGAGGAAATGATTGGGGTGGATGAGTGGGGGTTTCGGGTCCCAGGTTCGAGTCTAAGCTCCAAAGCTGGGGGCGGGCAGGCTCTGAACCTCTGGACGTTGATCCTCTCCCTGCTTTAAACAACGAGGTCATTGATAAAAGTCGAGACCCGAGACCCGTCCCCCTCCCCGTCGCCTCTCGCACCTGTACACCAAAGCGAGAATGTTCAGCATGGTGGCCACGTCGGGGTGATCGTGGCCGGAGGTTTTCTCGAGGTCCTCCAAGGCCTGTTTGCACAGCGGCACGGCCACCTCGTAGCGCCCCTGGGCGGCGTACTGGATCACCAGGTTGTGGAGCGTCTGGAGGCGTGCCGGGATCTCGTAACCGCCGTGCTGCGCTGCCGCGTCTCCACGGTTGTGGGCCTGCCCTGCGGACAGACAGACAGACAGAGGTAGCCCCAATTGCCTGGACCACCTGCTCTCCCTACCGTCTCATGTCCTCTGACTTATGCAGGGTTTCTCAAGGTGTAAACAAAAATCAACCCAAACCAACCAGGGTTACCCACATACGGTAGAGGGCGCCACTATCGGTGGGGACCGGTTTAAAGGCCCCTCTGTGGATACTGAAAAATGCGGATAATAGCAAACATATTACATAGCATGGTCTCTGCCTCCCTCTAATGTCCAGTTCTGGTAATAACATTGTGGATACATAGTTCTCTAGCCACTAGCGAATGTTATACACAGCATGGTCTCTGGCTCCCTCTAATAGCCAGCTCTAATAATTTCATATTTAGAAATATACATATTTGTAGGATTTTTCTTTTAATATTTTCAGATCCTGGATAAGTAAATCTGGTCCTGCAGATAAGGAGGAGGGGGAAATCCTACTGTACATTCAACAGGCTCAAAGAAAGCAAACAGACAACATGTGTACTGAATTTCCTTTCCCTGCAATGCACTGCTTTCCTGAGGAACTGACTGCCACAAGATGTTGCCTCCGCTAGATGCCTTGGGGATGAAAGGGGTGGAAAGAAAAGATGGATGAACGTGACATCCTTCTCAGTGAGGCGAAAGGTGGCGGGGCTTTATGGAAGCAGGCTGGCCGCCACTTACCTTGTCCCTGGTCATCGTCGTTGGGGAAAATGTCATCTAAAGTCTCTCTGTTTGGGTCTCCGCTCTTTTCGTCCTGGGAACAGAGAAACTTACAGCTGAGAATGTCACGAGTACAGTGGTGCCCCGCATAACGAGCGCTTCATTTAACGACGAATCCTCATAACAATGTGTTTTTTGTGATGGTTTTTTGCGATCGTATTGCGATGTTGGTAAAACATTGCTTTGCGATGATCGGTAAGCGTTTCACTTACCGATTTTCGCATAGCGATGTTTTAAGAACAGCTGATCGGCGGGTCCAAAATGGCCGCCGGGTAAATAAAATGGCTGCCCGCAGTTTTTTCACGCCCTTTCCTCGTTTACCGGGTGGCGAAAATGGCGGCCGCATGGAGGATTTTCGCAGAACTGTGAGTTTTTTGCCCATAGGAACGCATTAAACGTGTTTTAATGCATTCCTATGGGCTTCTTTGTTCCGCATAGCGATGAATCCGTATAGCGACGATTTTTTCGGAACGGATTATCGTCGCTATGCGGGGCACCACTGTAAACAAAGCAAGCAAGCCAAATCCCAAGGCTTTACATCAAATTTGTCACTCCTACTTTAAAACAATTGTATTCAAAGCTGCCTCTCATCCATCCATCCATTCGCTCGCTCCTCCCTTTCTTCCTTCTCTTCATCATTAGCTCCTTCCTTCCTCCCTTCCTTCCATCCATCCATCATCAGCTCCTTCCTTCCTTCCATCATTAGCTCCTTCCTTCCTTCCCTCCCAACGCAAGCCAAGTCAAAATAGCGTTGAGAGCCGAAGCGCCCACCTACCGACGGAGAAACGTCCTCATCAAACTTCTTGATCTGGTTCATGAACTCCAGGTGCTTCTTCTCCTCCTCCAGCTGAGCCACCGACTGCTCGCTGCGCTGCAGCTTCTGCTGGGTGCCGGCCAGCTCGTCCCTCAGCCACTGGTTCTCCTGGACCAGGCGGCGCACCTGGGCCCGCAGCTTCTGCTTCTCCGACTCCACCGCGCTCAGGTGGCTGGAGAGGGCAATGATCACCTGGAACCAGAGGCATCGTCGGGAAACGGCCCCCTTGATCCTCGGCTGCCGACCGATCCCCCAGCGCCGGGAACATGGGGGCACCCTGTTTCATACATAACCGGAAGAAGACCGACACACTCAAGGAAGAAATGGGGGTTCCCAACCTTGGGTCGTTCGTGGACTACAACTCCCAGAAATCCTGGCCAGCACAGCTCCCGGTGAAAGCTTCTGGGAGTTGTAGTCCAAGAATCTCTGGGTTTCCCCAAGGTTGGGAACCAACTGGTCTCAAGACAAAAGGGAGGATGGGTGGCCCTGATCCATTCTAGCGGGCGGAGCGGAGGGTGAGGGGATCATGGGAGTTGCAGTCCCAAGGTTGGGGATCTACAGGACCAAAGATAGTACTTAGTTATATATACGAGGTAGAGAAAAGGACTACAGGTCCCATCAGGCGCAGCCCACAAGGAGGAAGGCTGGGAGTGGTAGCCCAGCCCCATCGCGACGACGTCTGCCTCGAGGACCCACCTGAGCTTCTCCCAGGCCCAGCTCGATGGCTTCCAGGGACTTCCGCAGGACGTTCGCCTTCTCCTGCGCGACGGTGGCGGTGGTTTCCGGCTGCTGCTCCAGGCGGTTGACCGTCTCGAGCAGAGCGGCCAGCAGGGAGCGGTGCTCCGAGCGCAGCGTCTCCAGGCCCTGCACCACCGCCTTGGTGCCCAGCACGATCTCATCCTGGCTCATCTTCTCCAGCTTCTCCTCGCGCGGATACAGCACGGTCGCCATCTCGGGACCTTCGCCGAAGGAGAAAGACAGAAGAGACACCGACTCGGTAGAGAGAATCATCCCCATCACAAATCAGAGGGATGCTATTAATATTACATTACATTACATTATACCGTGTTTCCCTGAAAATAAGACAGGGTCTTATATTAATTTTTGCTCCAAAAACGCATTATTTTCAGGGGATGCTTTATTTTTTTTCATGTACAATCTACATTGATTCAATTACAGTCATGTCATCATCTTCTGGTTGCTGCACAAGGGTGGAGGGCGGGGTTTCACTTCACTGGGGCTTATTTTGGGGGAGGGATGGTGTATATATTACGAGCATCCTGAAAAATCATACTAGGGCTTATTTTCAGGTTCGGTCTTATTTTCGGGGAAACAGGGTATTGTATTATAATTTGGCTTTAATGCTGCCCGATGAGCACAAAGCACGATCCTGGGCAATTATCAATAAGGTCAAACAAAAGAGTCACAATAAAGCAAACAAAAATAATGATAATTACAATTATGATCTTATTCTCTTTCTCCAAAGAAAGGTTTCTGCTTTTTTTCTTTACAGCCCAACAACCTTGAGAGCGGTAGGACTCGTATAAACACATTCTATTATTTTGATGCAATGCTTATTTCATTCTTAATATATACTGTATATATATTAAGCACATGGATGAGCAATCCTTCTAATCTATACCGATCCACACTTGTTCCTGAGGGGATCCAGCACATATTATCAGAAGTTCCCCATTCAAATCTTACCCCCCCACACACCAGAAACTCACCAAGGCAGAGCTGCCTCGGCATTTCAAATATGTGGAAGGAGGAGGTTATTGTGGGGCTGATCTTAAAAGCAGAGGGATAAATACGAGGAGATGCTAGCGGTGCGAGGTAAAGGAGGAGATTAACTCAGGCGGGGTCTGCTCTCCTTCGGGAGAGGTATTTCAGAAGACGCCGGAGAATTATTTGTCGGAGACGCTGAGGTTGCAACTTCCATTAAACAGGGGTTGGACTAAATGACCTCAGGAGGACCCCCAAAATGCCAAAATCCTGTGGTTCTGCAATGCATGGAAAGTGCTCCCAACCCTTAAACATGCTCCTATTCCCACAGAACTGGGACCAGCACAAGGATCCCCCCCAAAATGTGCTTTTTAGAAAGCAAGTCCCCCCCCCAAAAAAAACCAGTAGGATCTGACCTCTGTATAAACAGTATGGGGCAGTAACGGACGGACAACATCACAAGGAAACTCCACATCCCCGTGATGGGGATGCCACGAAAAGGGGGTGCCCAAAGGGAGGCAAAGCCTGCCCCCCCACCCCCAATTGCGTTACATGGACTCAGAAGTCCAACTTTCGGGCGAAAGCCACAAGCTGGTCGCTAACCTGACCCCCAAGGGACGGAGCTGGGAGAAAAGAGGTCAAGGGGTCAAAAGAGAGGACGGGGGGGAAGGCGGGAGGACCATCTCCTCCGGTCCGGACTTTCCGAGGGCCGTTTGTAGTTCCCGACCAGCCCCAGCAGGTGGCCCGGCTCCGGCGTGGACGACAAGAGTCGCAATGCGGCGTGGAAAAGTGCCGTGCCCGGCAAACCTAAGCCGAGATGCCAGCCGGGCAGGAGAGGAGACTCCAGACCCTCTCTCTGCCCCCCCACATCGCCACCAAAAACCAACTTTCACCCCTAAACCTACAGAACCGCATGTACGGATTGCCCCAGTTTTACCCGAACTCCATTCCTCAAACTCAGCCTCTTGACCCACCTGCCCTTTTGTCCTTAAATCCCCTCCTTTTGGGGGGGGGCAAAATGACTCATCCGAGCGTGAACTGGAAACCACGCAGACGATGCCATAACTCAGATGCACCCGCGTGGGTCCTCAGCTGTAATGATTCATAAAAGGATTATCCCCCCCCCTTTTTTTTTCTGGTTTGCTTTCCCTCCTCTAATGAAACTTCATGAATTATTTCAGATCCTCTTTAGATCCTCCAGATCTGCCCACCCCACCCCACCCCGCAGCAAAATAATGCCCCAAAGACCGGGGACAACATTTCCCATCACCTCGGCCGGCTTCTTTCAACAACGTCCACCCCGGCAGGCCAAACGAAAACGCTCGACGGAAACTGGGAAATGGGGGGGGGGGTTTCGGATGAAGATCAGGAGGAAGAAAGATGGGGAGCGGGTGGACGTCCCCCCCTCTTCCGAAAGAGGTCAAGGGGGGTGTTTGAAGATCAGGAGGAAGAAAGATGGGGAGCGGGTGGACGTCCCCCCCCTCTTCCGAAAGAGGTCAACTTATCTCCTTTCTCATGCCTTCACACGCGTGACAGGCCGAGAGGAGGAAGAAGCATCGTCAAAATCCAAGCGGGTCTTGGAGCATCTTCTGCACTTTCCTTGAGATTTTCTTGACGCCTTATTTATTCCTCTTCCTTGCCATTGGAAAGGTGGGTGGAGGGGCTACTTTGGGGTCTTTTTGTAGGGTCCTGCGGGGAAGGGGGGGAAGAAGACCCTGTAACCTGGTCAGATTTCGCCTCCTCTCTCTGAAATCGCTGGTCCCTCTAGTCTCTGGAGGCATTTAAGGTGGGAGGAAGATGGGAGGGACGAATTGAGGATGCTTGGCCTTCCACGGATCACTCGGTCCGTCGTGGTTAAATCTCTTCCGCTCCTAATTTTGGCCTGATTTCCCCCCCTTTAAACCCTCTCCTCCTTTCTCCTCCCATTTAGGGGGGCACAGGTAGGATCATCGCAACGAAGCCCTTCAATAGAGGGGAAAGAGGACCACCCTCTCTCTAATTTTGAAATGCGGCAGGATCACCCCTAATTTATTATGGGGAGGGTCTTCCTGCTTTCCCCCTCCCCTTCATCCGCTCCCCTCTTCGGTTACAGGCACTTTCCCAGGAAAACGGGGTGCCCCCTTTCAGCTTCGCCCGCTGCACCCCACGGGGGTCCCCGAGGTTGATAGTGGGGGGGGTGTTTCCAACTCAAACCCCTTTCCACTGGGCTTTATGGGACACCGATCTGTGTATGTGTGTGTGTCTGCGCGCACACGTACACCCTCTCTTTGGGATCGCAATGAAAACAGAGATTCCCCCCCCCCATGTCCAAAATTGCAGAAATCCCGGGACTGCTCCCACAAAACACATTTTCTAAGCACAGAAGACGGGGTTTATTCCCTAAATAACTCTTCCAACACTAGAAATGGGGGTGTTTATCTCTAATTTTCACACATCTTCCCCATGGAAGGCATGTAGCGGGGCGTTAAGATCACCTCCGAAAGCCCCCCCCGCACTAGCAGGATGGCTAGCTATTCTCTCCCACCCCATAGACTTATGGGGAAAGGTGAAAAGGGCCCAAATTTGAATGACCTCTTTCGGGGTCTCGTCAACCCACCCATTCCCACGTCACCTTCTTGGAATACACTTCCCCTGTTAAAAACGGTCTAATAATTGATTCCTGTATTTAAAGGAACTTTTGCAAGCCTTTTCTCATTTCAATCCTCCCCCCGCCCCAAAATCTCTAGAAGCCTTTTTACCGTCTTTTGGGGGGGGTTCGGATTCCTGCCACCCCAAGACGTATTTTCTTCCCACGACTTCTAGGTCCTTCGCATTTCTTCTACGGAGCTCTTATTATCTCCAATTCTCGTTATTTTCAGGAATCCTTTTGACTTGATGGGCGAAGTGGGGGGGCGGAATTCCCTCTACTCACCCTACCCCCCTTCCTTTTGGGGGGAACAATCCTGCTTTCCCCTATTGCCTCTTTTCAGGGTTGAAAGAACGGGTTCAACCTTTAGGATTTTTTTAAATTTAAATTAGGATTTTTTTTAAATTTAATTTATTTTTTTTACTTTAAGGAGCCACCCCACATTTTAAATCACCCTCTTCTTTTAAGTGCACCCCAATATCCAGGCCCTCCAGAGAACTCATTCCCCCCCCATCTTGGGGGGGAGGTGCTGTGTGGGGGAGCCCTTTGCCTTCCAGACAATCCTATTTGAGGGGAGCATCATACCATCATCTTCCCCCTTTCTTTATGCTTCAGAAGGCTCAACCAACCCCTTCTTTCCACCCCACTTTTTAATTTAGCCTGTGTGGGCTTTCTGGGGAGGGGCGAGACACTTTGGAAGGGGTAGGGGAGTCCCCCCCTTTCTGCCTCTTCTTCCGAAGGCCTTTCCCCCCCATCAGTCCATTGGAAGAATACCACGTATCCCCTCCAATTTTCCTACATGGGGAAGCCCCCCCTGGGTGGGTCCCCCCCCAACCTTTCCTTCTGCCGCAAAGTCCTTGGGCTAAGAAAAGGCCCAACCGGGAGGACAAAAATCTACATTCTCCACCCATGGGTGCCCCAGCCCCCCCTAGGAAGGAAGGCTCGGGAGGGGGACCCCAGTATCCCTAACCCCCTCTTTTTTTGGGGGGTGAAAGAATAATCTCTGTGCAACCCACACCCCACACTCTCTCCCTGTCTCCCCCTTCCTATTTGAGGAATGCATTTTGGCTTGGGAGACCCTCTCACCTCATCCCCTTTGGTGGGGTGGTTTTTTGGGGGGGGCTCCCCCATCCTATTTAACCCTAAGCCTCCCTTTCTCCAGGGCCCCCCATCTCCCTCCAGACCCCTAAGAGGAAGACACCCCCCCTTAGCCCCAAACACATTCACCCTCTTCCCCCCCTTTTTACAGGTGCCTGCTGATTTGGGGATCCCTTCTCTCTAACCCCCTTTTTTATATTTAGGGGTCCAATTGCTAGGAAAAATCTCCCCCCAAAAAACAGTGGGGTCCTGTTTATGTGCACTGGAAGGGGGGGGGAAAGGTCCTGATTCCAGAATGCCCCATTCCTGGAGAGAGAGAGGGGGGTGTCCTTCATTTTTTAGGGGGGGCTCCTCCTATTCTGAAGCCCCCTAAAAATAAAAGAGCCTCCTTTCATTCTATTTATTCTACAGAGGGTCCTATTTCTAGGGGGGGGGCACATACCATTCCCTCCCGAGGGGGGGGTAGACAGACCGCCTCCCCCCACCCTCGGCGATTCCATCCTACCTGGGTGCGCGCGCAACTCGCTCGCTCGCTCCCGCCCTCGCCGGTGCGGCTCCTCGCCTGCTCAGCCGCCGTCCTTTCTCTCTCTGCTCTTTTTTTTTCCAGCCACCGGTGGCCTCGCAGCCTTCCCGGCAGGCACTGCGGCACCGGCTGCTTCTCGGCTCCTCCCCAAAACAATCGCCTTAAAGGGGAGGAGGAGGAGGGAGGGGGGAGCTCGTTTTAATATCGGAGGTCAAATACCTTTCTTTTTCAACCCCTTCGATGGGGGCTAGTGACTCCCAAACCCTAGCATCCCCACCGTGCGCTGGCCGATGGGAATTGTAGTCCAGCCTCGTTCCCCCGCGCGGGTCAAGAAACGGAGGCGGCTTTAGACGGGCGAGTGTTGGCTTTGCTTAGGCTGACTTTGCAAAGGGGAAAAAACCTTCCTGTGTTGAATGGGACAGTTTTTTAATTGATGTATTAATAATTGTGATCCTTGTTATGGGGGGGGGGAAGGTTCACCCCCGTGCTTTCCTTCTCTCCTGAGCCCAAGGGATTTCTTTCGCTGTCACCAAAACAAAAAAGCCACCAAAATCCAAAAGTGAGTCATGCTCTTTATTTAATCTCTGAAATCCCGAGATTTTGAGATTTGGGTGGGTCTCAAAGCCAGCTGTCAGGGGAGGCCAAGCCTCAGTTTTATCGGAGGGATCCAGTAGGGAAGGGCAGGGGGGCCTCCCACATGCTCAGAGGCGCTCTTGCTCCTCCTCCCTTGGCGAAAAGAACAGCTCCAGGGCCCAGAAAGCGCCTTCGCTGCCCTTGCAGGATAAGCTCAATGGCTGATGAGTATTTTAACATTCACACCCCATCCATTCCTTCCAGCGACATCAGGGCTAAATGCATGGCTCTCCTTCCTTCCCGTCACCACAGCCCTATGAGGTAGGCCAGGCAGAGGAGGAGAGGCTTAAGATCACCCAATGGCATTTCAGGGCCAAGCAGGGATTCAAACACAGTTCTCCTGTGTCCTGGTCTGGCTACTCCATTGAAGGCACTAACTACATTGGTTTTTGTGAATTTAGATGCCTCCACCTTCACACTTGGCACAGACACAGGTTACTGTTTCAATTAGACAATGCATCTAATGGCAAGGTTTTCCAGCCCTGGGTTCCCACATGTTCTCGGACTAAAACTCCCAGAAGCCTTTTCACCGCTAGATGTGCTGGCTGGGATTTCCTGGGAGTTGTAGTCCAGGAACATCTGCCGGGATTTCCTGGGAGTTGTAGTCCAAGAACATCTGGAGACCCAAACTTTGCTTAGTGACGCATAGGCTTATGCTGTCCTTACTCCCCAAAAGGGGCTCTGAATGGCCTGCATGAGAAACAAGTCCGTGAGGTGCTTCCTGGAGACCTTCTTAGAAAGAACATCTGTGTTCCACCGAGATATATATCCATGGGTTCAACTCTTAGCCTCCAAAGTTCGGTAAGGAAGAGGCAACTCCTGTCTCCCCCGGATTCTTGCTCTTGCTTAGAGAAGACCCACCAGATCCCAGGACCTCCAAATGGCACAAAGAGCGCTTTGGACCTGCTCAGGATCCAAAGGATTAGGGGTTTCGCTTCTGCGGTCAAACACTTTTTATTTTTGCTCAAGCTTCTTCAGTCTGGCTGCAGTTTGAAGAACGGCAATTGTCACTGTATCTCTTTTCAGGAACAGAGAACGAAGCAAGCCTGAAACTGGCTTTTCCTTCATCCTTAGACCCAGGCCAGTTTCCTTGCCTGATCCCTTCTCCCTACACAAGTTCTCCTTTCTCCTGTTATCCCAGGATCTGAAGAGCTTTGAGGAACAAAGTCAAGAACAAAAAAGGCCTTAAGAAAAACAAAACACAATTTATTTAATGAAAAACTCCAAAAAATAGAAGGGTGGGTGGGACAACAGACCCCCCAAGAATAAAATGCATCAAACACCAACAAGGCTCCAAAGCCCAGCCTAAACAAGGATCTTATTTGCAACCCTTTGCGAGTTTGGGGCCTGTAATGCAAACTGAGGAGACTCGACACACTTACAAAAAAATAATAGTGAGATTATTATATACAAAATGCATATTTATGTACAGTGGCTGAGACAGAGAAAAGCACATGGAATTAAGAGGCAAAAATAGTGAAGAGAATGTGCAAAATCCACACGGCAGAAACAAGGACACAACAACGGTCCTGAAAGGGACCCACCTTCTGTAACAGTCATCACGACATGAGGCCAGGTCGGAGGCACGGCTGTGTGCAGGCCACGGACCCAGACCTTGGAGAGCTCCTTCCAGCTCCAGTTCCAGTCTCTCTCACGCTCGCTCGCTCTCTCACACACACTCACACACACACCATGTGGCTCTCTTTTGGGACTGTCGTTCACTGGGCAGGGGCAGATTCTTTGGTAGACCTTCTGTGTGGCTAGTTCGGGGGGGGGATGTATCCGAGGAGGGAACCTAGAACAACTGCCTAGGGCGTCAAGACCATGTGTGTGTGGCTTTTGGGCTGTAGACCTGACAACATGGGTCCTGGGTGCCAATTTTCACAACTTCAAACAGGCCGATTTTTCCTCTCCAGACTATTCCTTTCTTCGGCATTATGCTACAGACAGAAGGACAAGGCAGACTTCACGGCAGCGTCTCCTTCCCACGCAGTCCCAGGACAAGACTTGCAGCAGAGCATAGGCCCTTCCTCTGGGGAAGGAGAAAAGAACAATTCCCTCTTGCCGGACTTGAGGGGGTGGGGAGAAGATCTGACAGGGCCCAGATCCTTGTGTCGGTGCCAGCCAGTTGTGCTGGGAGGCTGTTGCAAGGAGCCCTGCCGTTCCAGAAACAGCTGGCGGGATGTGATCTCTGGGCAGCTGCTTCTGGCCACAAATCTCTCCATGGTGTTGTGGGCATGGGGAAGTGGAGACACAGAGGGGAACTCTGAAAGGGGGGAGGGAGAAAACTAGTCACTTACAAGGGGTGTCAAAGATACCAACAAGGCCAAGCTTCCACAAGGCCTCCCTCCGTCCCAGAGCACAGCTGTGAGAGGAATGGCGTGTGTGCTTGTGCTCATCCTGCGTTGTAACAGCCAAGCTCCTCCACAGAGGGGGGAAAAACACACAATACAGCAGGCCTGTGTGAAGCAGCCTTCTGCTGGTCTGATAGACAGATGGGCCCAGATGATGTCAACATTACA